GTGGAGTTGAACAGCTCAGTGGTTAAGATGCTTGCCTTCTAATCTCAGGATCCTGGGTTCAATTCCTGAGGATTTTTTCTCACAACCAAAAACAACTCCACTCCATATGAATATGCATTACTCTAATTATTTATTATAAACCATAAAAAAAGTGGCATAAATTTTAGTTTTACGCTAAAGGAGAAAAAAAATGAGAAGTACAGAATATTTCTCAGGATATTACCATTTTCTCAATAAATTCTTTGTTACTAGGGAAATTCAGAGGTTGTAGATCACATCTGCTGGAATGCTCTCACCAGCTGCTTTTTGTGTATACTTTATACAGTCGAGCATCCTAGGTAGGCAGGGGAATTGTTTTGCAAACCCACCACATTATTCTTTATTTTTATCTCGCCCACCAATGCCATGAACTCTCATAAGATATTTTAATTCATCTCACAATTAATTAAATAAAAGCATTAATCGATCTGATTTACTAAACTGTTTACTTCGCTGATACGATCGTGAGCGATAAAGTGCACCCTCTCTAATGTGATTGGTATTTTGTACTGCACATCTCACACACTGCGGTCGATCGAATAGGCCTGAGATATGTTTAATTAATTGTCAAAAAGTCTGTCAGATTTTTTAACAAGTTTGATATAATTCTAATGAAATATTATATTTCACAAGTGTCAATACTAGCAGCGGAAAATATCATGTTGGCCGTTTTTATGTCTGACAACAGAACCTAAATCGAGGCCAGGCCTAATGTTTCCAGCACTTACTAAAATAGATTAGACCTATCGCAACATCAAACATAAAAAAAATTCATGCGCGTATATTTCTTGTGTGGAACACAACAAATCAAAGTTGAGTCTTATTTTGCATTATTTTCATGTTTAGCAGTGTCTAAATTCAGTTAAACTAGCGATTCCGTATTTTATTTATAAATCTTTATAACATATATAAAAATCAGATTTTTCCTTAAGAGAAATTTTGCCAGGAATGGGGCTTTAAGATTCACAATTTATTTTAAAATTTAGTTGTGTATGTATAATTTAAGCTTAATTGTGTATCAATTTATGAATTTACTTTTTGATATTTTGTTTGTGTAAAGTTGAATCAAACGAATTAAATTAATAAATACATTAATATTGTATATAGAATTACGAATTAATGGATGGGTGATTTTAAAATAAGTGAATGATAAAATAAATGATTAAAATAAGTTAGTGAGTGACATGGTTATAATGAAGAAATTGTATTTTATATGTGTAGTTTTTTTTCACCTATCTAAATATACTTCTATATCCATCTATCCATCCATCAATTTATTTTAAATTTATGAAATTATTTGATAATAACTTAGGTATAGAGATACACCTCTACTCGTGATATTTGATGATGATAATTATATATTTGAGAAAAATGTACATCCCCATAAGGATTTGGACCCTAGACCTTCCGATTACAGTTTGGATACTCGACCAACTGAGCTTTGAGGGTTTCCCATTTAGGACATGTTTTTTCTCAAGGTAATACGCAATGAATAACAGAAATCACATGATAGTAAGGAGCAGGAGCAGGAGGGACAGCGGCTGCGGGCTGCGATGAACAGAGGCTGTTTCTGCTGGGGCTGATGTGGCGGCCTCGAGAACGCCCAGCCCAGGGAACTTAGCCCTAGTCTGACGCCACGCTTCCAACTCCCTAGCCCAAGCCTCTTCTTTGGCCGCGAACTGGCAAAAGAAGAGGTCCTCTGCCCCAAAAGAAGGGCAGTCTAAAAACCGGTCAAAGTGACCAGGGCTGACCGTCGTCGCCCGGAGCACATTAGCCCTCCGGGCCGTGCCGGCAGCCTGGGCGATGGAACTGGTCCGGAATAAGGCCAATGCCCGCCCGAAGGAGGCCAATGGCGTCCGGGACGAGACCGGGGCGAGAGTTGGGTTAGCGTCAGCATCAGACAAGAAGGACAAAGCAAACCCCGCCCCATTCACTGAGCATATGCCCTCCCGAGCCGTGCGGTCCACAAAGGCCAAAGCCTCCTCAGCTGCACCCTGAGCTTTGTTAGAAAACAAAACCTTAGAAGTAGAAGAGAGCTTCTGATCCTCCCGCAGTCTGCCCTTGGCAGCGCGAGGAATGGGCGGCACCTGAATGAACTGCTTGTACTGGTCCTCGGGGACCGGAAAACCAGCCGTAAGACGCCGTGGCGCAGCAACTGGCTTGGATTTCGCTTGGGAATTCAGGCAAAGGATGAGGTCCGGGTGGAGTCCCACAACCGGGACTGGGTGGGCGGGACGCGCAGGAGCCGGCGGCCCACACAGACCCGCCCCCAAACCACCCCGGCACGGAGTGTAAAAAGAGACCCCCAAATGATCAAGGATGGAGAGATCGGAGCCGAGGACAATGTCCTCAGATTCCGACTCAAGATGCTTGGACGATTCGTCCATAGGCGACTCGCCGGCCACCCGGAACCCATCCCCAGGGACAGGCGGGGCAGGATCCGGAACCGCCGAAGCGGCCCGCATTCCGGCGAAAACCTCCCGAGCCACCCGGCCCACCTGCTCCGAAATCAACGAAACCAGCGCCGGATCCAGCGGAGGGGAAGGACCCGCCGAACGCGAAGCCGACAAATCCTCCAGCGGTGGAGGCGAGTCATCCGGCGCCGCTACAATCCCCGACGCAGCCGGCAGCGAACCCTGAGATCGAGTGGCAGCCTGAGCTGCCCAATCCAGAGCCGCCGCAAACTTAGTCGGGGGCCAGCACGCACAAATCTTGCAAGGCTCAGCCTTGCTACACGAGCGACACAACCGGCACCCTGAGAGCCGGTCGAGCTTAACACTCGGTTTGGGGCCCCCACACGCCGAGCACAAAGACTTGCGAGCGGACATGCCGATCGAGAGTACAATAAAAAGGATATCTTGTTAACCACAAGTTGAAAATAAATCCAAGGCAAAAATAAATCCAAAGCAAAAATAAATCCAAGGAGAACAGAATTGCTTGAAAAGTCTGCTAGTAATTTTCAAAGGCTAGAATGTATCCGACTTCGAACAACGTCGAAAAGGGAATGAGGACGTTTGTCAGGGAGACGGTTCGCACGTGGCGCCTTGGGTCGGACTGTTCCATTTTTTTTTCGAAGGGGTGTTCCGTTTTGGGAACAATGGCAATTAGTCGGTTATCCAGGTAAGTATTCACGAAATAGACATCACATGATAGTAACTTAGGTATAGAGATGCATCTCCACTGGTAGTTTAACAATGAAAATAAGTTTATTATGAAATTATTTGATAATTGACTTACACGTTCAAATTCTTTCCAATCATAAAGGTCATTGCCAACAACCATAGTCTTAAGTTCCTGAGGATGGAACTTCTGTAGTACTGGTCCACCACAGACCTGTAAGAACCCCTCTGCAAAAGCACTATATTGATCCTTCACTGATTCATTGAAGATACAGTCAATATACAGATCAACATACTCCTGTCTAAAAAAAAGAGGATGAATATTGGAATTATTAAATGTGACTACATAAATAAAATCTGTTTTATGATGTAGCTAATTAGAGATTTACCTTGTTTCAATTTGCAATTATGGAAGAAAATTAATTAAGAAATTTATGGATGGAAACCATGGATTTATTCGGTGTAAACACCAAGGATATAGATATGAACTTACTTGTTGTCATAGTTTAAAGGAATGTCTTTACCCCCTTCCTTGAGGTCAAAAGTATTCACCTCTCCACGGAATTCTGTGGATACTTGAAAGTACATGTTGAATGCATCCTGTAGATCGTAGTCATCATAATCTAAGATAGCTTTTAAGCACTTTGCCATTCCTTTATCCAATTCCTTCATGTCTGTCAGATACACTGGCCTGAAAAAATATCAACTTTTTGATAGGATATAAACTTTAAAGTGCAGAAGCGTGTGTTCAAGTTGTTTTACAGAATAGTTTGAAGCAGCTGCCCAGACTATCTTTGACAAAACATGTGACATCAATGGTGGCGGCAGAGGGGGGGCTGGGGGGCTATAGCCATAATTCATCAAATATCCGTGGCCCTGGGCGGCCCCCTGACCCCCAGCCAAGTGAGACTCGATTCGCTCCACTAACCCCCCCCCGTCGGGGTCTTTAGCCCCCCCGTCAGGCAGGTCCTGGCGCCACCACTGTGTGACATGCCTAATATCATAATGGTCATGATGATGTCACATCATGACCATTATAGGCATATGACTATATATGGGCATACAACTGTTTGTTTTTTTTAAAGAAGAAAATCTGATAATTGGACACAGTTGAGGCGATACTTTTTTTAATACTTTGTTTAGCGCACCTCATTTTTGAAAAATATAATTTTATTTTTTAACTTAGCAAAATTGTCCTGTCAAAAGTACCTAAGTGGAGGACGGAAAAAATAAAATTTCATTTACAAAAATTTGTATTTTTAAATTAAAAAGAGAAAGATAAAATTTATTTGCATGAAATAAGGTTGGTTTGATATACACTAAAAATATAAAAAGAAATACTGTAAAACAATTGTTTTTGTTTTATTAAGCTCTAATCAAAATTAATCACAATTGAGTGAGCACTACAGTAGTAGTTGAGATGTTCTCATTCTTAATTTGTGACCCAAGCTCACAAAAGGGCTGTAAGCTTGTCCTCAGGCCAAAATGAGTTTTTGTTATAATAGCATAGAACATATCATTTACTTTACTCAATCAGGTGTCTGGAAGCAAAGTTATGACCGTTTGAATAATTTTCATCTTATCAACTTTCTTAAATCAAGTTTTGAGAAAAATGCTTTTATTTTCGGCAGGTTTCTATTCATTTTTCACTAGCTCCCATCTGAAAATGGCTAAATTTTACCTCTTACAAATTGGAATTTTAAACTCAAACTTCAGGAATAGAAAGATTAAAAGTTATACTTTATTTATTACACAAAAACCCAATTTACACAAAATTCACGTTCTACGCCCTATTCTAGCTATGGAGGCTTGTTTCTCAATACAGTGCGGTGCGAGTTTACAGCCCTTTTGTGAGCTTGGGTCACATTTGACAAAAAAGATATAATTTTTTGTGGCCAAGACCTTAAAAAACTAAAATAATATGACATTCAGTGTCAAATGAAATACTGTAATGTTAAAACTTTATTGCTGATTTTGACCAGAATAATTCGACAAGCTGCATAATGTGCTGACGGTGTCTACAGCCAGCCTTCGTGCTAGCACCATGTGTTTGTGTCACGATAGATCGCAGGCCTACACACTATAATTACTGCGATATAAGTTTGCTTTGACCTGTTAAATGCTTTTATTTATTTAATTGTGAAAAAATATACATTAAGATTTCTTTCTGGTAAAATTTTACTGGGTGATTTTTTTTTCTCAACTTCGAATTATTCACGGCGGCAGGTGCACTTCTTTTATTCCAAATTTAAATTTTCGTCGGGCGGCAGATCTGCGAAACAAGGTATCATAAAAGTATCACCTTAGCATCTTGATGCTATCACTCGAATGCCAGTGGGATAAAAAAAACTACGGTAAACATTATTATTGCTGAATAAACTGACCAGATTCAAATTTAAGCATATAAATTATGTCTTTATCTTGAAAATGTCAAACATACAAAGAAAAATCATTCAGTGGCAGCCAAAGCTGAATTACAGAAATAATTATAACACCAATTTTAAAAGACACCTCATAAACTGGATCCATATTATGACTAAATACATGCATATTTTATCATATTCTTTACTTTTCCCTATAATAATAATAATAATAATAATAATAACAATAATAATAATAATAATAATGATAATAGTTAAATCTTGATTGAGCACATTTTGCTAAAAGCTTCAAATCCAGAATTAAGCAAAATATAAACTAAAAAGAAGCGACTCTACCTAAATACATGTATATTTTACTGATATTCTTTACCTTTCAAGCAGCTTTTTGTAAAGTGCTAGGGGGAAGGGTAGGTTCACAATAACTTGATTGTAGATTGCTAATCCACAGAGTAAACCAACCATTCGAAACATTGACCAATCCTTAGGAGACTACAAGAAATACAGTAAATTAAGCTTAACTGATCGACAAGCAGAATATTGGATTTCATTTTATTCAGAAATTAAAATCACAAAACATTTTTTAAATACACAACAAAAACAAAGAACAGATAAATAATTAAGAAGAACAGATAGATATTAATTCCTAATGTATACCAAGAAAGTTTTAAAATATAAAAACTCCATTGGAGCCCTTGAACAAATTAAAAAAAAAATACCACATTAAATGAACATAAAGCAATTAACAATAATAATGCCTAAATTGATTAAAGTGTTGACATTTATTATGTAATAAAAGAGATTAAACATTTTCATTTCAAACATTCCACTTAATTAAACTTATAATAGTTAATCCAAATGATTTCTTATTGCATTATTGATTATTGCTATTATTATCATAATAAGCAATTACTGTAGCTGCACATAGTACACTAGCAGAACATTATTATATGAAGGTTAGACAAAACATTTTTGAATGTAAGTACTGCTACAATTGTGACAGGTTTCAGATGATTTAAAAGCTTAAGCTCATTGGATTGCTAATTTAGGTCTTTCATTTTTGTATCTGTTTGAATATTTGTTTGCAATTTAATAATATTTTTGAAGGTTTGCATGATGAAGTAATAATATATTAAATGTTGCGGTACACCACATAGATATTGAAATGTTGTTTTTTTGTTGAAGATTTGAGACATCCTCAACAAAAACAACATTTCTTTCCAGAACTATGCTGCCCCACCATGACAAAAGGACAATTTTTTTTAAAAGAGTTTTTTTAGTCACTATCAAAAAACTAATAATTTGAAACATATTTATATATTTGAGTATGTTCAAATACCACTCATTAACAAGTAATTAGCAACACAAAAAGGAAGTAAGAGACTAAAAATACAGTAAAAACCACCAGAAATGGAAGCAGGGGACAAAATCAACATGCTCCATATTCCTTAATTACTCAGAGCAATGCAAACATCATTGCTTCCTTTTGTCATGGTGGGGCAGTATGTATGTGGTGTACCGCAAGCATTTAATTCAATGTTACAGCTCACCCAGAGGATTCAATATGCATAAAACATTACAAAATCACATGAATAACAACACAAAATATCAATAATATTAGAAGAATGATGAAAATGTTTAAACATTTATTGGATTAAAAATTGATATTTTTTCTTTGATTTCTGTTTTGAAAATTTATTTATTGCAAAACAACAGCCAGATAGAAGCTGAGTAAATCACATACCTGAGGGTTGAACCAAACTGTTCCTGTACTAAATTCCTTGAACATCCCAAATTGTGGATCAAAAATCTTTTTGAATACCTCTTGAAAGAACTCCTGTCATACACAAAAAAAAAAAAAAAACAACGGAATAAACATAAGTTCATTACAGAATGCAAATTAATCTTTTTCGCAAAAACTAGGCAATATAGTATTGCTAAGATTTGTATTTTTTTTTACCAAAATGGAAAGTTTGGTGAAAGAATAATTTTTTAAGTTCCTTTCCGTTAAGTCTATTTAGGTAAGTATCTCACTCACATTCTAACAACATCACTACTGATTTTTTTAATTTATATTTTTCTCCTTCAATTCATCACAGGATACCTGGACCACAACAAAAAACAGTTCCTCTGCATTAAGCATGCTGTCCAGAAGAAAGTTGAATAAATAAATAAATAAATCAGTAAAATTTTTTTTACGTGTCTATGTCTCGAATACCATGTAATAGGGACAAGTTGTCATCCATGTTTTCAATAATGATATTTATGATTTGAATTTCTGTAAAAAAATTGTCTGACTTGTATTAAAGTGGTACAAGCCAAACTAATTACAAAAAAATTGAAAGTAAAACAATTTATGACTAAACAAATTCTAACCTTGTGAGGACCACCATCATCTATTCCTAGTTCATCTTTAAAGATCACCCGCAATGGTTTCTTGTAATCTCTTTCCGAATGCCTGTTTAGTTGCCTCAGAGTGCTATCTACAATGTCTTGTCTATCAATGGTCAACGACAATGGAAAAAAATAACATCGCAATGGAGGGTTTATCATGAACATGTTGCACCCGATTCCTTGCAACATCCTCCAAAAGAACGATTCTTCATTCACTGCCCTCTGCAACACAAGAGAGCAAAAGTTTAATTTTAGGACATTTACATATAGATAGGTATATGCAATATAGGGGAAGGAACCATTGGCACAGCAACTGTCGTCCAGGCATTTAATTATGAGACTATTGGTTTGAATTCCTGTAAATTTTAATCACTATTCTAAGATTTGCAGGATTTCTTCTTATATAGAGTATCTAAGCTCAGTCGGCTAAACTGGTGGTAGCCACTGTGTGTGCGCTGAACAGTGGAGATCTCTAGGTCCCCAGTTCAATTCCCATCACTGCTCTCCTTGTGTTTTAGCTGGATGAGACGTTTTAAGTCATTTGTCCTGTGTGCATTATGGCCTGTTTACACGTGTGAAAAGAGTCTTTAATAAGACTTTTTCAGACTTTCGTCTGTTATTTTTAGTGTTTACACAAATTGAAAATAATTCCACCCAAAATAACATGAGGAAAGTATGGAAAGGAATGAAAATGATGAGTGGATTTTCTAATTGTAAAGTTGAAACTAGCCCTCTTAGTGATTGTCTCACAAATATGCCAATGAGCTTAATGGATTTTTTAATAGGTTTGAAAAATTTGATTTCCGTAATGAAACAGATGATATTTTTAGCAGATTAATTAACAGTCAAAGTTGCAACTTGGAATTTTTTACAGATGAAATTACTGTTCATAATCATTTTAGGAAACAAAATGCAACAAAGGCACCCGGCCCTGATAATCTGTCTCCTTGGGTTTTGAAGGCTTGTGCTTCTCAACTATCCTATATTTTTTCTATTATTTTTAATCAATGTTTTAGTCACTAAATGGTTCCTGATTTATGGAAAAAGTCATGCAATGTGCCGATACCAAAGAAAAATGTAATTCAAACCATGAATGACATGCGACCTATAGCACTTACATCCACTGCTATGAAAATCTGTGAGAAGATTGATTGATTGCTTTTGGTATTGAACTTTATAACTCAGAGATTCAACATTTTGTATCAAACTGTGACAGTAATTTCTTAGAGTTAAACACAGATAAGACAAAAGAAATGGTAATCGATTTTAGGAAAAAAATTTTGATAAATGATTGTATTACTATTAATAATTCATGTATTGAACAGGTTGAACAATTTGAGTACGGTATTTGGGAATTATCTTTGACAATATGCTCGCTTGGAACTGTTATATGGACTATTTGGTTAAGAAACTTAATGTTCAAATGTTTTGTTTAAGGAAGTTAAACTCTTTTAATGTTTGTGAGAATATTTTGAGATTTTTTAAAAATTCTGTTGTTATGGGTATGTCTATGTCTATGTCTAAATCCACCCTCTCAACTCTGTTTTGCCTTACCATTTTCTGTTCTTGGCTGTCAATTAGGATAAGATGCATCTTTACTGTATTCTCCAGAATAAATGGATACTTCTCCAGGAACTGTTTTAGTAGCTGTGGATAAAATTTAAAAAAATATTTGACAAAGAATCTCCTTTACGGTTTGCAATGTAAGGATAGTGAGGGCAATTATGTTATGTCCATTGATTATAGACACTATGATAGTATGGAGTTTGTACTTTTCAGGTACATTCTGCTAAAGTAATGGAATTAAAAGAAAAGTAGTAAAGAAAATGAGAAGAGAAAGAAAAAAAATGAAACGGAGAATGGAAAAGAAAGGAAAGGGCCCCTCCCACTTATCCTCCTGTCGGGGACATCAACCCCTGCGTCCTATTTTACAAACCAGCCAAATGAAAATAATACTCAACAAAAAACTAGTTAAAGATGGTTAATAACTACCTACCTTAACCGATGTAGGTGGAAGTGTTGACCCTTCCCAGAGTAAATTGACCTCAGGAATATAAAACGATGTGTACGAAACATGTTCGATACTCTCTTCTTTCTCTTCAAAGATCTTTTGCAAGATAAAATACAAGATGATAAACCATTAGGATGAAAATACTTTACACTGAAGTACAAATGGAATAAAGCACACTCCCAAAAATTTGACAAGACCATGATAACAATATGAATATCACAGATATTCACAGATAATTTGTATATATACATAATATTATCATGAATATGAGATATATACACATATTTGAATGTGCACCTAAATATGCATTAAATTTTCCCAGGAGTTCTTCTCACTGATCTGGATAAAATATACATAGAAAACAGATGCCCACTCACAACAGAGTTGAAATTTAAATAATTAATCTTACCGGAACTTAATCCGATTCCGTAGAATTAGATTCATGTATTTTGAATAAATAATACACAATTAAGTAAAGCTCCGTACAAAAAAACTCTGTATGTCCATATATAGTCATGATGTGCCTATATATGGTCATGTGATGTCATCATGACCATATTTTTTTTTACATTCTTTTTCTTTCAAATAAAATTACTTAAGAAAGTATTAAACCAACACAAATTTTCTGAATGGGATTATATCGAGCCTGCCAACAGAGCATGTGTAAAACCTGTTTTCCACTAGGCAAATCTATACGCGCGAAACGAAAGCATCGGTTCATGGGCATTCACATTCCTATCGGAGTATTTTTCGAATTGAAAAAAATGCCCAACCAATCAGGGCTCAGGAAGCTAACTGACGCTTTGATTCGTGCGAATAAATTTGTCTAGTGGAAAACCAGCTTAATACCTGTGACCTCACACCAATACAAAAACAGAATGGCAATTGTAAACAAATATTCCTTGGTGTATAATAGATTGCATTACAATATTGAATAACAACAAAATAATTCAGCAAATTAACAGATTTCGACTTTGATTCCCATATCTAGGAAAATGGGCATCTGTAGTATGTATTTGTATGAAGCAAAATGCACTGTTTACCTTGTTGAGTTTCTTAAGCATGTCCAGGGCAATTGTTATGTTCCATTCAAGTGTGAACACGGGTCTGTTTCGTTGTTCGGACAACAAATGTACAACCACATTTTTGAAGGTAATTATTAGATGTTTGAAACGACCAGGCAGGAGATTTCCAATCCACGTATCTATCATAAAGAGAAATAAAAATTTTAATTCAATTATTGACAATAATGTATAGTGTAGACTCTCTGGTAACATTTTACTGAAGAGATAAGCCAGTAAAAAGAGCAAATTAAATTAATTAAATATTAAAATAGAAGGCCTAATATATGATACTAAACATGTTTCAATGGGTTGAACAAAGCTACAGTATTAAGGTATATTACTGAAAAATAATCATTTATCATTAAAAAAAATACTACCAACCAATGACTTTTGACATCTCAGGCGAAAGATTACACAATGCTTTAGTGATGCTAATGATAGATTGAAGGTACAATTCAGGGAATTGCATTGTGGGAAATTCCAGTAGTAACAAGTAAAGTCGAAGCGCTTCTATACCAGGAGGCGATTTCAATAGAGTTGGACTTAGTTGTGTATGTATTACTTTAGAAATCTGGAAATAATAATAAATATTGTTTTTTTCACAGACAACCTATACTTTGAACAAAGAAAGATGGGAAGACAGAATGGAATGATGCTCTAAATACTAACAACTGGTCCATGAGTTATATATATATATATATATATATATATATATAGAGGCCTATATATAAATATATATAATACGTGCCTCTGTGATGTTATATCAGCATCCTGCAAACCGTTTACTCCACGGCCCAGTTGAGATTGCAACACCTCGGGACAGCAACACCAGCGACAATGATTCAAAAACCTAGCAAGAAGGTCTGATCATGGAAATTACCTTAATGTTCTTATGATATACAATGATTTTATATCATTAATGACGAAATTTTTTATAAACTGCGTGTTCACTATATCAGTGAAAGAGTTTTATAAAAACAAATCTTCAAAAAAGTTCTGCAGCCCAAAATCAGTACATGGCCCATATTTTGCAGACTGTCAGATTACATTAATAAATATATTTAATGTAAGATGGCCTAGGAAAAAACGAAAATCAACTCCTATCCAATACAATCCAAACTTTGATTATATAAGGTCCATTATACAATCAAATAATCACTAATATGATATTTAAAGGTGATGGGTTATTCGTTGCTGGAGATGAATAAAATTTAATAATCTTGATTAAGGAAACATCAAAATTATATACAGAATGCATAAATTAATAATGGTATATGTTTCTAGGAGTCTCACCTCTGATAAGATGTTATGTTTTCGGGAAATTCTTTTGAAGGTTTTCCTAGCACTAACAAGATTAAGTCCTGAGTTCTCTTCATTGCAGCAATAATGTTCACTGTAACAAATATTTATCAATGCTTGTAACCAAACCAAATAATCAAAATATTTATTTCACCATGGCAAAATATACAAATAAAACAAGGCAAGATAAGAACCAGTTTATCATTGGCCTTATCCGACTGGTTCGTTTCTTTGACAATGATTTGTCATTGAGTATTATTTTCATTTGGCTGGTTCATAAAATAGATTTCATTGACAATGGAAATTAAGGTAAACCAGAATGTGTTAAAGTGCATTAATTTGCATTAAGTTCTCAATGCGACAAAAAACAAACATGGGTGATTGGTCAATTTAGCAACAACATTTGCGTAAACATAAGTTGGATTAAATTTCCGAAAATTTTTATTAAAATATTTACCAAATATTTAGAAAAAAAATGATGATGGTTGTGTTGGCAACCGGTACTCTAAGTCTGCCACAAGGTTTAATAATGTTTCTGGCGATCATCAGATGTAGGGGATACACTTTTGTCATTCATGTGACATCATAGAGGACAATTGCATGATACACATTTATGGCCCTTTCAAGAGCATCAAGAACGTGCCAGGAATATGTGCGTGTCATACACACGCACGTGTTGCCCCACTAGTGTATGTGTGTGCATAGGATTTTACACCACTTAGTAATAATAAGAGGTGGGGTTTAGTGGAAAGGTACTGTAGGTCCATTCTGTGAAAGCTTCAGTAAAATATAGCATATACCTTCTAAGGAATGATGCATTCAAACAGGCCGATGATGAAAACAAATTCTGGATGGCTTTTTCAATATTGTCTGGAACAACTGATAAATGTGATATGGCTGAAAGTTCCGATATTGATTTTGTATCTAGTTGATAAATCACTTGTTCTGAAAAATGTTCATCCTGTGTATTAGGATTGTTATTGCCCATCTGGTTAGCCTTTGAGAAAAAGAAAAATCAGATAAATATTAATATCAAGTTATGAATTCAGCTAATTGCAGTGGGGTATCAAGAGGGTGCACATGCCTCAAAAATAGCTTCTACAAAAAAATCATGCTCAAGTAGTTAAAAATCATTCATATCACCTTATATTGTGACCTAGTGTTCCTCACATAATCGTTGATTCCCCGCTCCACCATTGCGCCTCCCACCGCTTCCCATCAGAATTTAAAATTGAATTTAGAAATTTACAAGAATTTACAATATAAATATTTAACACAACAAACCATGAATATAAAAAATACCACATGGAAATTGAACAAAATACATACAAAAATAAAATAAGTGAGTATTGGTGTAAAGGAAGTGAATTTACATAGAATAAGTATGACTAATGAATACCTAGGAGTAAAAATTAATGAGTATGAGCATAACATTTGATTAAGGGTAATACGAGTGTAAGTTACTTTATCTATTCACTAGAAAGGCAAATATATTTTTGATATTTTTAAAATAAAATAATAAAATATAACTTTTCTGTGTTTTATTGGCCATACACCATACCTCTGAGGTGATAAAATAACAGGTAGGTCCACCACAGTATATGTTGGTGAATAAAGATCTTCCGTTAGCATCCAAAGTATCACCAGAGAAATGTTCTGACAATGATTTGACCTCCACCAATGTGAAATTGGTGTCGTCTAATGATTTTGGCCCAAATATATAAAGATTATTGCTGGAAGGTATAAAGGCCAAAGTGTACCATCTGAAATTAAAAAAAAAAAACAAGACAAAACAAATTTGGCTCTGCACTAAAACTTCTGACTCCCATTTTGAACCTAACAGGTGGCTTACATTTCATTTTAATTTTTATTTTTTTATATGCCAGCTAAACCTCTGTTTAGCAAAGAGTGCATACATACAGTATCCTAAATGTATTTACAAGGTAAAGTATATTAGTCCAGTAATTATAAAGATAAATGAAAACACTGTAATCAACTTTACTTCCACCTTTTAGTTCTGGATGAATCAATCGTGATGTTGGTAGCCTGTGATTGAGATACTTACCTGGGCAACCTTCCCTCCCTTCCTACCCTCTCCATGATCAGTTGGATATCTAGGTAATGAGGACTATTGTTAGGGAGACAGTTGTATGTAACGCCCGGGGTTGGACTGTTCTATTTTATTTTAAGGGGTGTTCCGTTTCGGGAACAATGGCTATTAGTCGGTTTATCCAGGTAAGTATTTACAAAATAGACCAGTGACAGCAAACTTACCTTCCACATATTATCTTTCTGTCTTCTAGTTCTGCATGCCCTTCTAACCTGCTATCAATAGTGTCTACTGAATTCTTCGAAAGGGTAAAGACCTTACCATTCTAGTAATTTAGAAAAAAAATGTGATTGATTGATGGACTGCTGATGAATTGCAGAAAAATTATAATTAAGGAATGTACTGTATTAATATCTACCAGGTGTCTTTGTAGATTAACATTTAATAGACCAGGTTATGTAATACACATAGTTTTAATTTGTATTATATAACAGGTGACATGGATCTGTCAGTGTACTACAGTATCAACATCCAACAGTTCAGTAAATATCCAATATACAAGGTGTGATTGTACTGTAGTTTAAAAATGGAATAAAAAAGGTGATATTTTATACCACTTACCAATGAGTGAAACACTGAATGGTTCTGTCCACATGCAATGAAGGAAATTTGCTGGTCTCGCAGAAAATCTAACTCGTGTGGAGTTTTACAAACTGAAACAGAAATATAAATCGGTGTTCCATAAAATTACATTTGCAATTATCTAATTTCAAATCACACAATACTTAGGTACATAATGTTTTTTCATAAAATGTAAAACATTTGTTGTTTTTACAATACTTTGAGAACCATTAGTTTTACATATCCGCAAGTCCAATTACGTGTACATGTATACATCCTATATACATATGATAACCAACTAGTGACATGATCAGTATACTGCTGTCTCTTATACACATCTAGATGTGTATAAGAGACAGAAGCTGACCTGATTCATTACACCCCCAGCCGAAGACAGCACCACTAAACGTCAGAGCGAGGGAGTGGTCACCTCCACAGCATATTTGCTTGATTGGCAGACCCGTCAAGCATGCAATTTCAGTTGGTACATTACAGGTGTAGAAAGAAAAAGTGCTGAATCCCAGCTGGAAACTGCTGTTGTCACCCCAAGCAAACAGCTTGCCACCTGTATGCAAATTTTTAAATTACACTACATGGTTGCCATATTGATTAGCATAATTCAAAATATTATTATGTGAAGAGAACATAAACACTTAGGGATACATTATCACTTTAGCATGTGGTAACACATCTAACAACAAACCCATCCCAACATCAAATTGTAGAAATTATTATATGTAGTGACTGATTAAATTACAATACAGTATTACTATTATTACATAAATATTTTTTTCATCTAATAGTATTTGAATTAGGTTCTAATACAAAACATTATTGTTTCTTTTTATAACTATTATTATTTGGATTAAGTTTTAAGAAACACTTTGACTCCGTTTTAACTTATTTAAAAAAAATAAAGGATTAATATAACATTAATTACTTTTTGCAAGAGCCAGTGTGTGTCTTGATCCACAGGAGACCTGTATGATAAACTCCTCAGATGGAAAATGTATAACCCTGCAAAAAAAATTAAATTAAATGAGCTACATTGGAGTAGAAAATCTTGTGAGATGTGTCCCTGTGCCTCCCCATTGGATCCGTGCCTACTAACTGCGAAAGTACTTCCCTGGGACCACTCTATTTCAAATTGCTGGATCCACTACTGGTTACATCTTGGCTCTTAATCGAGAGAGTCAATTATTGGGTCAATTACTATATTTATATATTGGCAAGTGTATTTTCTGCTGGATATGAAGGGAAGAATTAGGAGAACCTTTGAATTTCATTGAAAAATGGATGTCCACATCTGAACATAATACAATTCCAAAAACAAATGAATATTTTAAGTTAGGATAGTCAATTTATAGAATTTGGATTTTTGATGGCTACCTTGGCTTGATTTTGACGAGGCTCTGTGAATCATTACCCCAACTCAATACTTGACCTTTATCACTTAAGACCACACTGTGTCCATCCCCACAGGCTGCTTGCACAATGGAGAATGTATCCAGAGAAGACATACGCTCTGTGTGAGAAAATAAACTTACAATTATAGAAATACAATAGGATATCATACTGTATACAAATAATTAATGTTCTTTATTTGTGGGAAGAATATTTTCATGAGTTGAAAGATTGACTGTTCCATTCAACAAGGCGGAGCCGAATAAACATATCCTTTCCATTGCATGAATAAAGAAGATTCATTATTCTTTTCAAAAAATCTACCTTTTTTCTGAATGGAGATTCTAGTTATTTGATATGTTATGAAAAAATCTACCCTTTTTCTAAATGGAACAGTACCGCATCTTTTAACCAATCAAAAGATTGTATTAGGTTGAAGTCATAGCATTTCCTAGGCACTGTGCAATGAGCAAAAACGAATGGAATTTGTATTTTCATACCAAACCAAGGACAGGAACAGATGAGGTAAGATCCATCTGAGTGGCAAAATATGGTAAATAACCAATGTCATGTGATACAAAATTCACCATGCAAATGACAGGGATCTATTTAGCTGTGTTATAATATATAACAATTAATATGAATTGTAATGTAATAATAAGCAATTAGTAGAGCTTTGCATAGTACATTATTGGAAAATTATTATATGAAGGTTATATTTAATGCTTGAACAAATTTCCTGGGGGCCTGTAAGGCCCAAAGGAAATTTTTGAATGCATTAAATCTAACCTAAGTATAATAATTTTCCTTTAGTGTACGATGCATGCTCTACTAATTGCTTTATAAGTCAATCACCATCTTTAATTTTAGTTTTTGATAACCAAATAGTGTAGCAGTCACTGGTTGTTATAGTGACATGATCAGTATACAGTGTGCGTATTTACATTTAGCTGTGCATATGCTGATCTGTGCTCCTGAGTACGTACGTGTTAACTACACATCAGCAGTACATAACAGTACGGATACGATGAATATATTGTAATTGTGTTAGAAAGAACTTGTTTGTAATGGTATTTTGATAGACATTCATCAAAGAAATAAACATTTCACTATTCGAGAGAGAATACACTCACTGACTTTTTTGTTAGGTGCATGCTGACAGGTAAAAATCGTGCAATGATTTCATAACTAGGCTAGGCTACAGCTTAGTAAGAGGAGGCCTCAGCAGCCTCCTGCCTGGACATAGGCCTACATCCAAATCTGTTCCTGGAGTCTTTCAAATAGGTCTAGAATATTCTTGTTAAGCATTTTTTTTTTATGAGGTTCCATTGATTCAATGAATTCTTTATTTGTTCATACTTAATATTTAATTTGAAGTAACTGTCTTTGGGTCCTCATTTAGCTTGTTTTACGAAAGTAATTTTCAATTACAATTCAATTTTTGATGTCTCCGCAGTGACAAAAAAAATGAAATTTTTTTTTGCACACAAACCAAAAAAATCAAGCCAAGCGTCCACTAATTTTTCAATTAGTGGGGGATAGGCAAGTAACATTGGGAGTTGCAGTGATGACGTCACGATTGACTTATAATAATTAATTATACTAATAATAACATAACACTTACAATTAGAACAGCCCATTACAAAAAAAAATAAAAGATGTAGATTGGAATACACACCTGGTATGACATCACCTTGGTTGTTATTATGAATGTAAACTGTTCCATCACCTAAAACATAAACAGTCTGCTCTAAGCCACAAGCTATTTGCCGAATTTTACGATTCCTGAACAATGGAACCTCACTTAATGTTCTTGATATCTGTGGATTGTTATTACTTGCCATTTCTAAGCCCAACATGGATGCTATTATTCTCAGTAGAAAATGCAACAGTTTGGACAATGATGACATTAACCAACGAAGGAAACTTTTTGATGTTCCATTGGGAGCTGGTATCTGCTGATCACAAAAACTTGCCACATCCAGGTTCAATAATAATACCCTGGAGGCCATCATACACAGCAGAAAAATATCAGTTACCCTGCATGTCAAACAGAAACATAATATTACTGCTCTGCAAAAAAGCAATGGTATATTCTTAAGTATTTTTATTTATTATATTTTTAATACTATATATAAAATAAATTTACTGTAGCTGTTGATGATTTATCCAATTCAACGATTTTTGCAAACCATATATGCCTAGGAATGATATGATAGGCCGCCTACACAGTGGTATATCTAGAGTCCATGAGATAGACGTTGCCGCAATATTGCAGTAAGCATGCCAGCATAATATTTGGTCTATACCCTTTCACACTGCACCTTTGTTACCGCAATATTGCGCTACAGTATTATCTTACATTTTTCTGTCTGAAAGGGTCCTATAAAATACCACCGCCCTATTGTTTTCAACTTTAACCTTGCTTGTGCATAAATGCACACGCTGGCTTAATTGTCACAATATCGAGTAGACCCTTTCAGACAGAGCAAGCCAGTAACCATTACCGCAATATTGCGGCAATATTACTAGGGTGCAAGGTGGACTAAAGTAAGCCGGCATATGGCGTATCAACCCTTTTAGACAGAAACCCATGCCTGGCTTACTGCAATTTTGCAGCTGTGTGAAAGGGACTCGAGTCTTGAAATGGGAAGGTGAATAGGGGGAGGAGGCTTGATGACGGAAGCAGGTAACTCGGCCACAAGTCAACTCGGCCACAAGTTATTTATAATTAAAATGAAATGTAAATAATACTCAGTTTTTGCATCCTTTTTCTTCAATATGATTAAAATGAAGTACACAGTATATTTTAGTAAAATTCTGATCATCGTCATGAGATCGTTGTATTCATTTCTTTACACTGTACTCTTATTGAACCGAGAAAACCTGTCACTTAACGGAATGGAATAAAATCTGACAATAATGTAACATTAACAATTTAAGCAATCTTAATAATTAAGAAAAACAAATATTAATGTTTAATTTTTTTCACGTTAAAACACTGACATAAAACATGAGTACATACTAATCTTAAAAAATTGAAATAGAAAAACCACATTATGATTTTTTAAATGTTAAAAATTTATTTTTAATCCGACTAAAATCAAATGAATGCAATGATGGCGTGCATTTCGATACTATTTTCTTCAGAACCACGCCCAAGAATTAGGCCTACGTTAAAATTAGGTGGGGTGCAGCATCTAATATCAGTTATCCACAATAGGAACAATTGGTATTGTTGGGTGACAGACTTCAGTCCTTCATATTTGTTCGACCATTGGGGGCTATGTTTGAAACCCGTCAATGACGTGAATCACCAGTGACATGTCGGTCCTTTTCAAATTTCTACTTTAATAATACTAATTAGTCATAATAACGATAATAAAGGTGATAACAACAACAATAATAATAGTAATATTTATTTTAACAATATTAATAGTAATAATACTAATATGGTAATAATAACGATATTTAAATATATATTTTAATAATACTAATTAGTGATAATAACATTGAAGGTGATAATAGCAATAATAACAGCAATAATAAATTAAAGATAATGTTTATTTTTATAATAGTCAAATACTAATTAGTAATAATAATAATGATGATATTTATAATACTAGGCCTACTTAGTAATAATAGGGTATAAATAATATTGATAATAAAGGTGACAACAACAATAACAATAATAATAATATGAGAAAAATACCAATAAAATACCAATAACAATATTTTTAAAATTACTATTATTAAAATAATAATACTAAGACTAATATATAATAATAATAATAATAATAATATGAATAAAAAAATTGAGAATTTTTTATTATTTATACAGTATGGTAACAATAATAATATCAGCAAAAATTTAAACAATACATAATGTTAATGCTAAGACAAATAATATTAAAACTAACGGTAATAAAAACAACAATAATAATAACAACAATAATAGCAGCAATAATAATAAATGTGGCCGAGTTGACTTGTGGCCGAGTTGATTGTAGCTGAACTTTTTGTGGCCGAGTTAACTTGTGGCCGAGTTGACTTGTGGCCGAGTGGATCGAATTCTTGATGATTAGGTCAGCAAGAGGTGCTAGCTTGCAAAATAAGGTGATTTGAAGTGATATTTTTGCTTTGAACATTTTCAATGGGGGACGACTGGAGAAGGTGAAGATTTTTTGGGGGTGCACCCCCACCCATAGATACACCACGGATCATAACAAACGCATAAAAAATAGCATCAGTTAAATTTACAAATAGAAACGGTCACTCTTTATATCAGTCTGTCTTTGCAACGTCATTTTAGCCTAATGTATATACAAGGATATACCTCCTTCGGGACCTCATTGATATAAATAACGACTAGTAAAAAATGTATAGCCTTCAAATTTCGATACTTGCTGTTTTTCCTAAGGAGGTCCAACAGTGCAATAATCTCTTATGCGTATGTACGGTACAAATATCAAAATGTGCCTGTCAAATAAGCATACAACAAGAACATGTTCTTTTATCATGTTCAAACTGTTTCCTAACGTTTCTTGCCCTCGAAACTCACTTAATTTACGTCTGGTACAGTGGTACTTAGAATTGCATCTATTACACTGGTTCGACGCTGCTGAATTAAAAGAATTTATTACTTTGTAATTTCCAGATTCAAAACGCTGGAATTTGGCCGGGTACATAAGAGCTATGGCCGGATATGACTAGCTTTGGGAATTTCCCATCTTGTGTCATGTAAGTAGACAAAAAACAGAGGGCGCTATATATAAAACCAGCAACCAGTCTCTGCTTTCATCTACTGTTTTTCAAAGTATTTCAATACACAAAAGATTGCTGAATATCTTCCATTCATGATTTAATAATTTATGTTCCATCCAAATATAAACAGATTGACCGTTTTCAGATAACTTTTGGGTTCTGTCTGCCTAATAAAGAAAATGTAATGAATCCTGTCCAGACTATCAAATTTTGCTTGAAAAAAGCATGTGACATGCCTAAATAAGGTCATGATGACATCACATCACGACTATACATGGGCATACAACAAAGCAATTTGATAATCTGGACAGAGCTTTTATTACCACACTACAAATAATAGACGCTGTAATTTATGACTCCATCCTTTGTCTTGTAATGTTTAGACTAATTCTTTTGAATATTTAATATAAAATATAATATAGTACATATACATCATTAACCAAAAAACTGACTTGAATAATATATACATCAATAATATTAATGATAATAATAATAATTATTATTATTATTATTATTATATATATAATTAGATAAAAATAATAAATAAGAATAATAATAAATAATAATAATAAAAATAATAATAATAATTAAAATAAAGATGAAAATATTTGAATATGATGAACAATGCTAAACTACAAATTGATTTTAACGGATTAATTCATTCGAATTAACGATAATTGAAAACAATTCTAATTTTAATTTCAATCATTTACGCGAGCACGGAATTTATGCGAGCACGCACGCGCAAAAATATTCGATTATATATGAATTGTTATACGCTGTCCATACTAAGTGATGTTAATTATAAAATATAATTGTAAACCCAATTAAGTGTGTGAAATTAATATGCAATGTACGTAACACATATACTTTGCATGTGTTCATCGGGAAGATTATGAAACAAAATGGACAGTGTGTACCACGTGACTTTCGTAAACCAAGGAGCGGAACGTCGCAACTCTTTATATATATGGCTCTGAGATAAACTAGAGTTCCAATACTTTTTGGTGTATATTACAGTACCTGTATTGTATTTTCCACACTGTAGTATCATAAAAGATTGCTGAATATATTATTCCATTAATGATTAATTAATTTCTGTTCCATCCAATTAAACGTTTACAACCAGTATGAAAATGTAATGGGTTTTTCTCGAAAATTTAAATGAAAGCTTTTTGGCTGTTTTTTCCCATGTAATATAATATTAATATATGTTTTCTCACAACTAAAGACATTACACCGTAAATCATAGACTAACATACTTTATGATTCCATCCTCTCTTGTAATGTTCAGATTAATTCTTTTAAATATTTAATATACAATACAGACTACACTTATATAATACCGTCAAACAAAAACAATGACTTGAACCATGGAGGAAATTATTTCCTCCGTGCTTGAACATAATAATTATATTGTTTTAATAATAGGTAAGAAGCTTTAAATAGTGGCAAATAATAAAAAGAGCCATCTTGGTGTCTAAGCAGCAGTTGAATGGTCTGACCCCAAGGATGTGGGGGCGTCTTCCTCTAAAGATAAAAAGAAAAGTATACCATGCTCAATATTTATGTACTGGGCTCTGGGAGAACAGTAATATTTTACTGAAGAGGGCACCCAGTATAAGGAACAAATAAATGAAGATAAACAAAATAAATAAACAGGCCTACAAGTCATTCTTATATCTATATTATTGATCCCCATTTGACTAAAAATCATAATTATTTTTTTGAAATTGTCCACAACAGCTAGTGCAGTAAAGGCAGAGAGCATTATTAGTGTGACAAATCCAATAAATATAAATACAACCTGAGAATTTTTTGATCCAGAATCCAAGATTCTTAACAGGACATGGCCAAGGAGGTCCAAGACATCTTGCTAAAGTGGCCTTCATAAATTGTTCTTGGCCATCCAAAAGACCCCGTTTAGAAAGTCAAAAAAAGAAAAAATTGATCAAGGTTATTTTCGGACGTCTAGAAAACAAACATTTCGCAGGGTCATGCCCCCGGACCACCTAGGGTGGTGTTAACTTAATCGACCCCACTTTTGGCACCACCCTTTCAGACATCTCTGGATCCGCCCCTGCAAATTTTAAATATATTACATCAAATGTGAGTTTCATTATTCTACGCGTGTATGATCATCATAGTTAAACTTTCACAAAAATCATATATAATAATAAATATGAAGTTGTATAAAATAAACAATAGTCTTTGTGGATTTGCGACCTTTGTTTTTATAATAGGAAACAATATATATCAGTCATATAGAAGAAAAAGTGAATACTGTAGTAGCCATTGAAAAAGCTAATATTGTAAAAATAAAAGAATATGCATGTATAAATGTATGTGTATATATAAACACTATGTACCTCTTCAGAATTTATATATATATATCCTCTT